TGGTATCCCTATTGGTTTCTTCAAGTAAGTCTTTTAGGAATTTGTCATATAATGATATTCTAGTGAAGCTGAACTACATTGTTTAATTTCATGTTGTAGTAAGCTTAATGCTTGATTTGATTTGATAATTTTGTAAAGTGAGATTGTGATGCTTGGTTTGATTGCGGAACTGGAACTACTGTCTTAACATATGCTTCATCGTTATCCAGGGTGATATTATTCGTCTAGAAGGCGATGAAGTCTGGCATATGACTAAAGTTTTGAGGTTGAAGACTGATGATAGGTACTATTTTTAATAGTCACTACAAGAAATAATAAATACGATAGCTTACGAAAAATGCTATCGTAGACTTTTTATAGCGTTTTTCGTACTAGTCGACATGATTCACTATTATCTGGACATGTGTGTCACTGGCTAGATCCTTCTATCTTTATCTGTTTGTTTTCTTCATGATAATTGGATGTAAATTAAAGGGTGGAGCTGTTCAATGGAAATGGAGGTTTAGTTGAAGGGAGCATAAAGAACATTCGTGTCAACGGAATCGACATTCTGGCAATGGAAGATCCAAAATCTGTTCTACCTCAAAGCACACAGTGGCATGTATTTGCAGCTTGTGGTGAGATTCTTTTGTAGAATCATTAACTGTTTACTGCATCTTGTGGCATGGAATTTAACATGTCTTTGTTTAGGTACTCTAAAGGGCGGTCGTGCTGATTGGCTTGTTGAGAAATGTACAGTAAGTAAATGACTACGGTGTTGCAAATGAAAATTTTTACTTCCTAATTATCTTGCTGCCCCTTTCATTTTATCTAGGAACTGGGTGCCAGTAGCGTAACTCCACTGCTAACAGAACGTTGCGCTACCATATCTGATAACCGGGTGCACAGATTTGAACGTATCACATTGGCAGCAACTAAACAATGTGAGTCAGTATTCAAGTAAACTTTCTTCACCTTGGGAGTGGGAACTTGAGACAGTTCAATTTGGCTTGTTGGTGTTGTCTAATTACGTTTGGGAATTTTTTATGTATCCTTCATCGCAGGTCAAAGACTGCACCAAATGAGTCTGAATTCTCCATTGAAGATTGATGGTCTTTTGCACATTGTGAGTTGCAGCACAATTTTCTTCGTGTACTTTATTGACCTTTGTGCTTGGCTTGGCTAGCATAATTTTTTTTTTTTAAATTAAAAAATCATAAAAGAATTATGGACACTTGGGATAATTTAAGAATTAAGCATATTTCGACTACAATTGGTCAAGTCCTTGTAATATTTGTTGAGGATTGTTGGGAGGGAGTTCTACGGGATGATCATGGGTTTATAAGTAAGGAATACATCACCATTGGTATCAGGCCTTTTGGGAAAACCAAAAGAAAAGTCACGAGAGATTATGCTCAAAGTGGACAATATCATACCATTGTGGAGAGTCGTGGTTCCTAATATGGAATCAAAGTCATGCCCTTAACTTAGTCATATCAATAGAATCCTCAAGTGTCAAACAAACAAGTTGCTAGCCTTGAAGATGTAGTCAAAAGTGATTCATGTGTCGAACAAAGGGTATTCTTTGTTCGAGGGCTCCAGAGAAAGGAGTCAAGCCTCGATTAAGGGGAGGCTATTCGAGGGCTACATAGACCTCAGGGGAGGCTCTATGGTGTACTTTGTTCGAGAGGAGAATTATCAAGGACTGTTGAGAATTATTGGGAGGAGTCCCACGTAGACTAATTTAGGGAATGATCATGGGTTTATAAGTAAGGAATACATCTCCATTGGTACGAGGCTTTTTGAGGAAACCCAAAGCAAAACCATGAAAGTTTATGCTCAAAGTGGACACTATTGTGGATAGTTATAGTTCCTAACATATTGTTAGTTCAAGCTCATATGTCCATTTGATGTGGCCTTCTTCATCAAATGAATGTATTTTTTCAGAAGTTGTGTTGATAACCTGAGATATACTGATAAAAACGAGCAAAACAACCTAAACAACCTAAGGGGTAGAGAGAACCCTTGGCCAGAGAAACCACAAAAGAATTTCATAGCATTCTATACTACAAGTTCTTTTTCTTTCTTTCAACTTAATTTCATAACTGCCTCAGTTTTATTCTGCTTCCCTGTAGATTAATGAGTCGAAGCTATCTTTTGTAGCAGTTGCAGAAGCAACCCCGCTTGTAAGTGCATTAGCTTCAATTGAAACTGAGTCTGGTGGGCTTTTGGTCGTCGGACCTGAAGGAGGTACATTTTATGATAATCTTGCTTTAAAAGAGGGTTTTAGGGTAGTTTTCAACATTCTGATGATGTGTGTATATGTATATATATATATATATAATCTTTATTTAATAAGTAACCGAGTTTTCATCAAGCAAAATGAAAGAATAAACAAAATGAGTACAACTCCGAAACTTTACCTGAGAGTAAAGGAATGAAATCCTACTGAAAAAAATCTGGTTAACAGACGCCCATAAAGATGCATTTAACCTCACCTCCTCTGACATCTTCTCCACCCCTCTAAAAGTTTTACCATTCCTCTCGAACCACATACCACGAGATTATTATTTTATCACGAAAGAGAGAATTCATCAAGGTTTCATCCATCGTACTCTTTACCAAGAATTTGATCGTCATGGAAAATTACCTATGTTATCTATTGTTAATTGTCCACCTATAAAATAATGTTATAACAGCCCAAGCTCACTGCTAGCAGATATTGTCCGCTTTAGTCCATTACGTATCGTCGTCAGTCTCACAGTTTTAAAACACATCTATTAGGGAGATGTTTCCACACCCCTATGAGGAATACTTTGTTCCCCTCTCCAACCGACGTGTGGGATCTCACAAATGTGTCATTTTAAATATGCTAGTTATATAAACTAGTACTTATCATTTAGTGCATTGCATTTTTCATCCTTTCTTTCTTTTCTTTTTTTTTTTTCTTAACATCTTTTCTTCTTCTTCTTCGTCTTCTTCAGACTTCACCGAAAAAGAGGTCAACATGATCAAAGAAGCTGGTGCAATTGCAGTTGGTCTTGGCCCATATCGACTTCGTGTTGAAACTGCAACAGTTGCAATCTTATCAACCCTGATGTTATGGTCTGACTCGAAAAGTTCTAATCGTTAATCTCTCTTTCAGGTTAGCCCTTGTCTGTTTGTGTATTGATAAATCAAATTTTCCTGCATATCTATTTTGTTCTGTTTCAAGGATGACAAAGGGAATGGGTGCCTATGAAATAGATTTTGAATGCAGTACATGAATACAAGATGTACCAATATCAAGTTTCAATAGCGTAAGATGCGTTGTAAAAATCTTAAGGAAAAGTCCGAAAGGAAAAGCCCAAAGAGGACAATATCTGTTAGCGGTGGGGTTGAGCTGTTACAAATGATATCAAAGCCAGATACCGTGCGGTGTGCCAACGAGGATGCTGGGCCTCAAAGAGGGTGAATTGTGAAATCCCATCTCAGTCGGAGAGGGAAACAAAGCATTTTTTATAAGGGTGTGGAAATCTCTTCTTAGTAGACGTGTTATAAAATCTTGAGGGGAATCCTAAATGGGAAAGTCCAAAGAGGACAATATCTGCTAGTGGTGGGCTTGAGCTGTTACAAATGGTATCAGAGCTAGACACAGAGTAGTGTGCCAACGAGGACACTGGCCCACAAGGAGGGTGGATTGTGAGATTCCACATCGGTCAGAGAGAGAAACAAAATATTCCTTATAAGAGTGTGAAAACATCTTCCTAATAGACGCGTTATAAAACTTTGAGGGCAAGGCCGAAAGGGAAAGCCATAGTGAACAATATCTCCTAGCGGTGGGTATGGATTGTTACGCCTAGAAATTTACCTTTCTTCCTATTGAATGGACAAAATTACATTGTGTCATCATATCGAGATCTCAAAAGCGACTAACATCAGTTTATTGCTTCATCTCTTATCGACCTAGTAGATGCTACTCATTTTTTCTAAAACTGGTTGGCCATATCAGACCTACCCATGAAAGTTAACCCATCCCAAACTCACCAACGTGACTTACAGTAAAAAACCAGGACATTTCCCATTAGTTTTCACTTGTTTTAATTCTATTTACTGATTTACTGCAATGCTCCATGGTGAAATATAGTCTTAGAAGAACAATACTAACAATGTAAGGTAGTTTCTAGCATTGGTTATTTAGGTTTATAAGGTTGAAGGATTGTTGTTCATACATAGTTATTGTCTTGCGTTTGCTAGATAGATCATCTAAACGATTCACCCAAGCTTGGGAGTTTCTATTAGAACAATGGAATCCATTCTAGTAGCTTCAGCCTTTCTATGCTTCACTGTGTACAGGATATCATCAAGATCAGCACCATTTCTAAGCCTTAAAGTCGAGCGTTTGAGGCATGGAGCATGTCGACAATTTGAGACATTCTACAAAACAACTTGAGCGCGGTTTGATAACCATTTTTTTTTTTTTTTTAGATTAAACCTAGAAATACTACTTCTATCTATCTATGTTTGTTATATCTACTTTCCAACCATATTTTCAAAATTCATGCACTTTTTGAAAATTAAAAAAACGGTTTCAAAACCTTATTTAGGTTAAGAATCTAAGTGTTTCCTTACCTTAAAGAAAAATGACCACCGCAATGAATTTGTGTAAGAATATACACCATTTTTAAAAACTAAATAGTTGAACGGTTAGAGATGGGAGGAGTGTTCCACATCTCTTGCGAAGGTTGCATGGTTAGCATGAGTAATTACATAATCAATATAAGGAAAATTTGTAGTCGTTGATCATAGTTGCACAATATTAGTAGGATTATGATAATTGTAATAAAGAATATAATCTCGGAAGAAATTGTCATCTATTTTGATTTTGGTAAGTAAATGGCCTAAAAATATATTCCTTTGTTCTTCCTTCTACCTCCAAAATTAAATGTAAATAAAAATAAAATCATTCCGCCATTAATTTTCTGCAAAGAAAAAATTTCCAAGACTAAAATCAAGCATCAGGTTTTTTACTAGAAATTTCATTACATTCCGAGGTTGATCCGCCATTACCGGCGGCGAAGTTCCCATGCGGGGACAGCATTTTCACCCACAGAAGCCGGGTCTCGCCCGACCCGATGAGGAAAACGAACCAGTTAGGCGCCGGAATTCGGAAGAAGGGAACCGGAGTCCGGCCATGGCTGCTTCTGGACTCGACCGGCGGAGCTCAGGTAGTTGAGGCTGGAAAACATGCGATTATGCGGGGACTGGCCTACCGGCTCGGGACCTTCGGATTCTCGATCCGTTGCTCTCGTATCCATCTACGATTCTTGGCCGTGAGAAAGCGATTGTGATCAATTTAGAGCACATCAAAGCCATTATCGCTGCTCAAAAGTGTTCGTGTTGAATGCCAGGGATCCGTCTGTAACTCCCTTTGTTGAGGAGCTTCAGAAGCGAGTATTGCAGCACCATCAAGCCACGAAGGCCGCTCAGGTTTGAATTCGAAGTACGATTTTAACCTAGTTCTTGGAATTAATGCATTTCTTCCCCCAAATTTGATTGATTGGAATGAAGTATGAACTGATTACAGGGTTCCTTAATTTCCTTTTTATCCATTTGTGCTAGCTTTCTGTCTGGATTGTAGAACTTATTGACAATATGTTGTCCAGTTATTTACCAAGTGTTTTGAGAGTATTATGAAATCATGAAATTTTGTCATTCATGTTTGAAGAATAAGGTACTGGGGTTGTTATTTTAAAATCTTTGTTGTTTCTTGCGCTGTTCTTGGGGTTTGTGAAGCTTCCAAGAACAAGGATTAATGGGTGTGTGTCACGGGCATGATCCAAGGAGAGAGTCTCTGATAACTCGTTATTTTACAAGATATGATATGAAATCTAGTGATCATGGTTAAATGTTGTGCAATGTAGTAGTTGCTAGTTGGAACTTTGGATGGCTCATTTGAACTTGGATTGGAAGTTTGAATTCTGTCCTTAAGTTTAGTTTTCATTTGATTCTCTTTCGATGTTTCATCGAGGATGGCTCATTAGTCATTACCGAACAATCGTACTCTACTTCAGGACGGTCGTGATGATTGCAGAATTGTTCTATGATGGGTGCAATCTGTGTTTGATTATCTGCAATGTTTTAGGATGGCAATGGCGATGATTCTAATTGGAGAAATTTGTATGACCTGGGGGAGCCTCGATCGAGGACTCAAAGTCCTAATTACTACCAAGGATTTCCACAGGATGACAAGGAGGAGGGGAAGGAAAACGGGAAACAAGGTCTCGAAAATCGGGAGGGATTGAAGGCTCTTCCTTTTGAGTTTGTTGCTTTGGAGGCATGCCTTGAAGCTGCTTGCAGTTGCTTAGAAAGTGAAGTAAGGATTTTACATTGTTTGCTTAGTTTATTTAGTCTTGGTATCTGCCCAATGTACCAGTGAGAAGGCTAAGCCCCGAAGGGGGTGGATACGAGGCAGTGTGCCAGCAAGGACGTTGGACCTCGAAGGGGGTGGATTTAGGGGGTCTCACATCGATTGGAGAAGGGAACGAGTACCGGCGAGGACGCTGGGGCTCTGAAGGGGGTGGATTGTGAGATCTCACTTCGGTTGGGGAGGAGAACGAAACACTCTTTATAAGGTATGGAAACCAGCAAACGCATTTTAAAAACCTTGAGGGGAAGCCTGAAAGGGAAAACCCAGAGATAAAAACCTTGAGGGGAAGCCTGAAAGGGAAAGCCCAAAGAGGACAATATCTGCTACCGGTGGGCTTGGACCGTTACAAATTCTATTTAGCACATTATATTGTTTAGTTTTTCTTGCTTCCTCGATTGTCATCTCCTGTACCAGGCAGATACATTGGAGCTAGAAGCTCACCCAACCCAGCTTTGGATAAGCTGACTACTAAGATTAGTACTCTCAATTTGGAATGGGTGCGTCAAATCAAAAGTCGATTGGTTGCAATAACTGGACGAGTTCAAAAGGTGTCTAGATTTAATTACTACTCACGTCGCATTTTATTGGGAAACAGATGCACTGTAATTTGATTTAACACAGCTTTTTATTCTTTTCGAATGCTATGGTTGTTTACAGGTGCGCGACGAATTAGAACACTTGCTAAATGATGATGAGGATATGGCTGAGATGTACTTAACAGAGAAGATGGTTCAGCAACAACTTGAGAACTCTTCCACTTCTTCAATTCCCGAGAGAGATGAAATGGACGATGCAGTTCAGCAGTCAGGCAACGATGAGAGGCACGAGACTCGTCTTATGTCGCCTTAAACACAGAATAACAGACCTATTCTATTGTTATTGTTTTCATTGATTTCTGCATTTTAATGAGCTTTCTGTTCCCAATTTTCTCAGTTCTCCTCCTAAAATGTCGTTGGAAGGCAATATGGATGCTTCCCATGTGGGCAGGGACAGCCATGGGACCCGGACGAGTACTACCCAGAGCGCTATAAGCAAACACCTCGACGTGGAGGAACTCGAAATGCTGTTGGAGGCATACTTTGTGCAAATTGATGGTACACTCAACAAACTCTCCACGGTATGCAAAATCATCAATGTTTTCTATCATGTATGTGATCAGTTGTATTTTAAAGATGATGCTGCTTCTCTTAATCTGTAGATAAGTAATAAATCTAAAATATGTGTTTTCGAGTAACGGCCCAAGTCCACTATTAGCATATATTCTTCTCTTTGGGTTTTTCCTTTCAGGCTTCCTCTCAATGTTTTTAAAATGCGTTTGCTAGGGAGAGGTTTCCACATCTTTATAAAGAATATTTCGTTCTCCTCTCCAACCGATGTGGAATCTCAAAATTCACCGCCTTTCAGGGCCTAGCATCCTCGCTAGCACTGGTTCCTTTCTCTAATCAATGTGGGACCCCCCAATCCACCCCCTTTGGGGCCAATCATCCTTGCTAGCACACTGCCTCGTATTCAACCCCCTTCAGGGCTCAATCTCCTCATTAGTACATCACCCGTTGTCTGGCTCTAATACCATTTGTAACGACTCAAGTCCACCACTAGTAGATATTATCCTCTTTGGGCTTTTTCTTTCGGGCTTCCCTCAAGCTTTTTAAAACATGTCTACTAGGGAGAGGCTTCCACACCCTTATAAAGAATGTTTCATTCTCTTCTCCAACTGATGTGGGATCTCACACATAATTGTACCCGGGGAAGAGGCTAAACTAGTCAGCAATCCTGGTTTAAGGGTCAACATTTTTTAGTCTTTTAAAGAAAGATGGTTCAAATGGAAGTATAGAAGTCAATAGAATTGCTTTAAGGTATATCCATGAGGTAATTTCTTATACAAATACTTTCACAGTTGACCTCAACAGAAGGGAAGTAAATTTTGAATTCTCCACCACCTTTGGGCCTAGAATTGAAATGAGAGGGAGGTTATACCTGTAGCGGTCAAGCCCACCGCTAGTAAATATTATTCTCTTTGGACTTTCCCTCAAAGTTTTTAAAACGTTGTCTACTAGGGTGAGATTTCCACCCCTATATAGAATGTTTCATTCTCCTCTCGAATTGACGTGGGATCTCACATGGGATCTCACAGGACCAATTCAGATCCAATCCTTAATACGAAAATTTTGTTCCCTTTCAAGTGGCTGCTACTAGTTTAAACATTGATTTTCCTTCTGTTAATGTCTGTATAACACACTCTTTTATCCATCTTTAGCTGAGGGAGTATGTGGATGTCACAGAAGATTACATCAACATAATGCTGGATGACAAACAAAACCATCTTCTACAAATGGGAGTAATGTTGACAACAGCAACCCTTGTCGTGAGCGCGTTCATCGTGGTGGCAGGTATCTTCGGGATGAACATCCATATTGAACTGTTTGAACCCAAAAAAGCAGGCATGCCAGAGTTCCTGTGGACTGTTGGTGGTGGCACTACTGGAAGCATCTTGTTGTATGTTGTTGCCATCGCTTGGTGCAAGCACAAACCCTTGCTTGAGTAGTTCCCCAAAACCGAAACTCAAGCATACTGCCAATGGTGTAGTTGACCCGATAAAAAAAGGATTATATATATATATATATATATATATATATATATATATATATACATTATATATTTCAAGCTCATTTTCTATTCTGCTGTGTTGAAATAAGGTGTAGCTTTTATGAATGCTATGTCTCTGTGTAGGATGAAACTTTTGAAAATTCGAGCAAAAATCAATTTCAAACTTTCAAAATTTTAAAGCCCTTACGTAATGATTTGGTTTCTTGATTCTTGTAAATACTACATCATAGGGTTGCTGTGTTAACGGAATTAGTTCTTTTATGATGTCGTTATAGATTTATAAACACCGTGTTAATGGATTCAACGAGAAGAATGGACTTCATGAATGATCGGCTATCCCTTTTTAAGTTTAAAATTGCATCAGAAAAGACGAGCTCAAAGAGATATCAATAACTCGCCTATTGAAATTGTAATAAGATAGTTGTACTCGAAGGTGTGTCTAGATCGCCTCTATAACAGTTCAAGCCCACTTTTAGTAGATTGTTTGCTTTGACCTATAATGTACTTGAATGTGTGTCTAGATCGCCTCTGTAATAGCCCAAGTCTATCGCTAACAGATAATGTGCACTTTGACCTGTTATGTATCGCCGTCAGTCTCATGGTTTTTTTTTTAAAAAAAAAACTTCGTTCTCCTCTCCAACCGATGTAGAATCTCACAATTCACCCTTTGGAGTATTTAGACTTATACTATTTGTAACCACCCAAGCCCACTGTGGGCAGATATTATCTGTTTTGGTCAATTGCATATTGTCGTCAACCTCGGTCAATTGCATATTGTCATCAACCTCACAATTTTAAAACACGTGTATGTTAGGGAGAGATTTCCACACCCTTATAAGTAATGCTTTATTCCCCTTTACAACCAATATGGGATCTCACAACATCCTTTTTAAGAGGAGATTGATTGTTGGATTTTATATTATAGAACAATTTGATTCTCTCTATTACCATAATAGTATAATATTATCCACTTTCATTGTAACTCTCTCGATCACAATTTCACTAAAAAAAATCTATATATATTTCAATAAAAGTCTAATCCTTACTTCTACCCGAGATATCTTCCCTACTTCCAAAACCCATACGAAAGAACCCGATCAAACAAAACGACAAAACAAGATAGCAAAGAGCTAACACATTCAAAACGACATGCAACAAACACACTCTAATGCTTAAATCAATGAAGAAAACATGTTGGAGCGAGTTAAAAACATTGAAGGGAGTGTCCAAAAACCCTAGCCAGCTAGGGCTTGGTGGCATGCAGCTGGAATGTGACAGTGGGAAGCACAGTTATGGGGAGGGCCTGCAAATATGGCAGTGGAAGCAATTGGCAATAGCCAAAATTGGTGGCATTATGTCCCCCATGGGGTTTTAGGGTTTTGTCACCATAAACACAAACAACACAAACCCTTTGCATCCTTTGCCTTTGCCTATAATTAATCGTTGTTGTCTTTGGCGGTGGTTCTAAAGGCATTGAATGTCTCTTCCATACTTCTTTGCATATCTATTTTTTCTTTCACCAACTCTTTTAGCGTTTCGATAACTTAGCTTGGCTTTTCCTTTCGAGCTTTCTCTCAAGATTTTAAAACGCTTCCTCTTATAAATGGTATTTTGTGGGCTTCCTCTCAAGGCTTTAAAACGCGTATAAGATTTCCGTACTCTCCCCAACCAATGTGGGACATCACAATCTACCCCCTTCGGGGCCCAACGTCCTTACTGGTACACCGCCTCGTGTCTACCCTCCTTTGGGGAACAGCAAGAAGGCTAGCACATCGTCCGGTGTCTGGCTCTGATACCATTTGTAATAGCCTAGATTCACCGCTAGCAGATATTGTCCTCTTTGGGTTTTCTCTTTCGAGTTTACCTTCAAGACTTTAAAACACGTCTGCTAGGGAAGGTTTCCACACTCTTATAAATGGTGTTTTGTTATTCTCCCCAACCGATGTGGGACATTACGACTTTCAACTCGAACGTGCAGTTAAATTTAACTGATATTGATCGATTAGTTACGTATGAGCATTCTCGATACTATTTTGGTAGGTATTGATTCTTTTTTGTCATGTTAAGATCTTCTTTTCAACGCTAGATTTGAACGATTTTAAGTCGAGTTTATATGTCTTTTTAGTAGTCAAACAAAGAAACTCATGATAAAAGTACTAAGACACCTGGGTAAAGAACCGATACCACATCCGAATGAGAGAAATCCTAAGAATAGAATGACTAAAAAACTTGAAAGTTACTATCGAGACCAACAAGACCCACCTTCCTTTTCAGTGGCTTAACTATAGAAACTCTTCTAACTCGGTGACCTTCTAGAAACTTTTCTTAATGTACATGAGTAAGAACAAAACATGTTGAAATGATTCGTTTTGGTACGTAAGGATAGTCTTTAGCAGGAGTAAGTAAAATGACTACGTCGCAAGTGTCGAATGGTTTGTCGGGATAGTCTAGATAGCCTTTAGCGGCGATGAGTAAGTAACATGCCAAATGGTTTGTGGGGATAGTCGACGCGACCATGTCGAAGGTGCCAAATTTAGATTTCGAATCATGAGCGTGAGTCGTTACAAGTACTTTAAAAGCTTCATTTTTTTTAATTAAAGTTCGACAACTATTTGATTCTTAGACATTGTCTGAAATTTAGCTAAGAATTCAAATTATACCTTAAAAACGTTTAAATAATTTTATTTTATTTTGAAATAAAGAAAAATAATAATAATAATAATAAATATTGAACAGCTGTTCCATCCTCTACTGTGTAGTTTGGATCAGATAGCCCATCACCACTACACACCTTATCATCATCTTGTCTCATGCAACTCTCTTCTCTTTTGTCATATTTCCAAAATCCTACCTAACAATTTTTTATATTTTCCAATTATTTTATATAATATATACACCAAAACGCTGCTTCTAAATCTCGTGGGTCATATCGTTTCTTTTACCCTAACGTGCTTGTTTGAAAAAATCTCGACATATCAATGCTTATTACGGCCAGTGACTTTGTAATTTTGTCGCTCGTGCTATAAACCTGCAAAAGAAATTCTTCTTGTTTACCTCAACTCGTATTGGGAAAGATAGAAAAAAAAACGACAACCAGAAAGCAAAGTTCCCATTAATGATATACTTAGTGTAAACAAGCTTGGATTTGCTAAATTTGATCTATATTTTTTCCGGTGGTATTGATTAATGTTCAAATGGATCGTAAAGACTAATTTGAACGTATTAACAATCACTGAAAAGCTCTCTTTCTTTCCTAATTTTCATGTGTTTCCCTCTTAATTCTCGAAGAGAATCTAAAAAGTGTTTGCATAAAAAAAACAAGCTTGATTTTGTTGCTTTTGACTTATGTGCTTGACGGGTTCGTCTTCTGACTTAGTTAGGTCGATAGAATTCTCGAGTTCCAAATCAAAAGTGGGTGAGACTCGAAAAAATATAGTCATGATGTGATTTGTGGTTGAGCTCTACTAGATCAAATTGACGCCGATGAAGATGAGTTGGCCTGAATAAAAGTTAGATAAATGGATAACTATTTGTTGTGATTTGTGGTTATTTTCACTTGATCGTGTTTAAAACCCGCTCAAAATCAAGTGTATAAAAATATTTTCTCCAAAAATCTCACCAAAGTAGGAGGAAAACGACCGTATGAAAAAACCCACTGAAGTTTTTATTAAAATCCGCTACTATTTATTTGATTATCATTGTTCTATATAATTTACATTAATCATTACATTTAAATAAATTGTATGCACAGATCGTATCGATGATTTTAAAATGAAATTCTAATCAAGGAGCAGAAATTGATTGTAACAGTCCAAGCTCACTGTTGGTAAATATTGTTCGTTTTAGTTCGTTACGTATCTACATATCTATGAGGAATGCTCTCACAATCCATCTCCCTTGAGGGTCAACGTTCTTACTAGCACATCGTCTGATGTTGTTAGTAGATATTGTCCGTTTTAGCTCTTATGTGTTGTCGTCAGCCTCATGATTTTAAAATGTATCTTTTGAAGAGAGATTTTCACCTCCTATACGAAATGATTTCTTACCCTCACCAACCGAGGTGGGATCTCACATTGATTAACTTACTAAAGATTAATGTTTACATCGAAATATAAATTGATATTTACTCTCATGTATATGACGAGAATTTTATTATTATTCACGAAGAAGATAGAAATAGTAATAAATTTATAAACTAAACCACATAAATAACACCGAACTTGATTTATAGACCAAATATGTATAGTTTCATTAAAAAAAAAAAAAAAAAAAAAAAAAAAAAAAAAAAAAAAAAAAAAAAAAAAAAAAAAAAAAAAAAAAAACCTAAATTGTTACACTTCAAATGAAGAGCGGATCGATGAAAGTCCCACATTTGCTAATTTAGGGAATGATCATCCGTTTATAATCAAGGAATATTATCTCCATTAGTACGAGGACTCTTAGAAAAGCTCAAAACAAAGCCATGAGAGCTAATATCATACCATTGTAGTGTCCCGTTCAATTAACAGAGCCATCATCTCAATCCTCATCTCTTCCCTTTAAACCACCTATTATAAAAAAAACAACATAAACCAAAGAAACAATGAGTATACGATAATATATCTACCGATACCCATAAAATGGATAAATTGCATGTTTAATCATCGTGTAACTTTTAGGGCTATGTTTATAAACGTCTATGAACATTTAAAAGTGTCAAAGTACGTGTTTCAATTTTGTGTTTAGGTGATTCCTGAACTTTGAAATTGTGTCTAGTAGGTCCCTGACTGCATGCCTAAAAGATCAATGATGTATTAAACCTACAATTGAGACGTATTATAACTAAACTGACCAAATAAATTTATAATTTAACGAGCAGTAATCAAACTCAATCGCTTTTACGACAATATGTGATAATGTAAAAGTTTCGGCTAAACGACAACGTTTTTGCTACGAAGATTATGAACGAGATATTGATTCGACTCGGAAGGGTGAAGGAATTGGCTTAACTGATTCTTTTGCCTTTGATTTCCAGATGGAGATGATT